TACAAATACATTTTGTAAAAATGTAAAGCACACTGAGTTGATCTTGTGTTAGGTTAAGAGTTCTTGTGAGGTAATGAAATGACAGAACAGATCTTGAATGTGACTTCTATCTCATGTTTCAGCTTCTTAAAACTTCTCAAGAAATATTTAACTGAGACTGTTAGGCGGACACACCCGTTGCCTTATGGGAAAATTAATGAAACGCGTGTTTTCCTTATTCATTCTCTGCTGAAATGTAAATTTAAGAACATCATTAATTGATAAGCAATGAAGAACGGAATATGACTTGCCTTCCGCGTGATTAAGGAAGCTGTTTAATTATTTATCCTGCACCAACGGTCTTCAGAAGTGATGACCGTATCTTTGTTTGATAAGAATAAATATAATACCAACTGAACACAAGAATTTGCTGATACATCTGAATGTAGTTAAAGAGACTGAAAGTGTGGGATTATTAAACAATGTTTCTGAGGTTTGCATTCACTTTTAATCAACCCTCTTAGTACATGTGGTTTATGCTTGTGATGAAACGTTTATGAGGTAAACGAGAGATTAATTTGGTTTTTCAAATGACGTCAGATGTCCCTCCGATCTCTCAGAATTTTACATTTATAAATCGTTGGTTCTGTTCGTAGAGACTTTATCAAAACGTTTCGCAACTATTTATTTTAAACCTATCAACCGGTTCAGCGCAAAAGACATGTTCTTTGTCACTCTGTAGCCAACTGCCGTGTCACAATCTAAAACTCTTTTCTCGTAACTGAGTTATAATATCTTCTGCTTTAATTACTGTTGTATAGTTAAATTTTATCAGAGACTCTGTGTGTTCTAGTTAGGATTTTGTGGCATAATTACCTGCTCACTGTGCACAGGAAAGATAAAAACCTACTGAAGTTCATGCTACAGTTGATAACAGTACTTTATACTTCTCATTCCTTTCCGTCCACAAAAAACGAGGAGAAAAATTATTACAGTTGCGGTCTCTTGGCTCAGCGACGGGAGATTCAGGGGGAGCTGCTAGAGAAACCGCTTTGCTATTTTAGTTCGCACAGATGTGATTTTAAAAATCTCTCCTTTCTCTTTGTTATAATCTGTGCCCTCTATGTTAATAGCAGTAAAATTCAGGAAGGGGACTTCACCACCTATTACATCGCAGATATGGCCCTGTAATTTATAAATCCTATGGTAATAGTTATACTGCAATAGATGGTAGGGGGAGGAGGAGGGAGGGGAAACAGACGGTATAAAAAGAGCTTCAGAAAGAAATATCCTGTTTCAATTCCGCGTGAAAAACGAGTTACTCCTACGGCGCTGACAACACGGAATCTGTCTCTGGATTAGAGGCATTATCCGCAATGATTTACAGTCGTATGTTCCAGATGGCGAGGCCCAGTGTTGACCCTCCCATGGTATCAGGAGCTTGAGAGGGTCGTGCCACACCCCCCACGTCATTAAACGCGACACATCAGGGCAAAAACTGCCCAAGTCCAGCTCTGCACTTAGCAGAATACTTCATGCTTCGACTCTGGACTTAGACGCTCTAAAATTATCCCCGCGAGCCTCGGATTCTTTTCTCTTCAAGGCAGATGAAAATTGTTATCCCCATAGTGATGACTGATTCGTATATTATACCACTGTATCAACTGCAGAAGTCATTATTTATCTGACGAGATTATCGTGCGAGATCATCTGAAAATGACTGTGCACGAAGTATTCCTGGCTTATTTGGAGTAAATGTTCAGATTTCATCTGGAAAGGCAGAAAACGTCAGCTGGAGCGATTTCTGCTTCAAAGAACGCTTTGCCTACGTCATCAGTAGACGTGAAATACGTCACTTCTTTATACATTGAAGCAAAGTATGAATCAGTGCAGAGATAAAAAGAAACCACGGTCAGAGGTTTTTGAGTACGTCTTCAAAGTTGTGAAATTCGGCCTTTAGGTTACGACTCCGAGGTTCATATGTTGCTGAAGATAAGTGCTGTAC